CGGCGACGAAGTTTTGAGCGTCCCTCTGAGGCATGTGTTTTCTATTGAAACGGTCGGCAGCTTCAAGCTGGGACGGCTGCTTGCCGATCCACCTGACCTGTTGCATTCCGACATCCTTGCAGCATCTCTTGCCGCTCACGCCGGTGACCTGCACAGAGAAAGAGCAGCCATCGTGACACAGATGCTGCCAAGCGATCTCTCTTACCATCCGCTCTTCTACAGTGACGACACCTGGAAGGTTGCTGATCGCCTCGTGTCTGGGAAGCTGCTGCAGTCGGCTTCGGATGAAGTGCTACAAAGCTGGCATCGAGTCTCTAGTGTCCTGCAACACATGTCGCCAGACACTGGACTTCTGGAACCACACTTCCGCTGGGCGCATGCGATCCTCCGCAGCCGCGGTCACTCCATCCGACTGCGCAGCCAAGACGGTGAATGGCTCAGCACATGGGGCTTGATACCCCTGGCAGACATGATCAATATGGATACGAAGCCTAATGTAGACTGCCGAACACGCTATGCAGGCAAAGATCGCTGGGGATTGGAGGGCGAGTTCGTATGCAAAGCATTGGAAAGGATCGACAAAGGCCAGGACCTGTGGACAGAGTATGTCTCTAGACCAGAGCTGCGCACGAGCGCAACCTTCCTGCGTGACTATGGCTTCGTGCCGACGGCCACTGACAACAATGCTTTGAGCTGGCTTCCGCCAGGCTGTACACGGCTCCAGTGCATGGTACGTCTGGATCATGCACAGCTGGAAGAGTACTTCGGAGATGTCGGTCACTTCCTCGAGGAGGCCCTGCACAACTCTTCCTTCGTGATAGAGGCCGCAACACTGCCTGCCTTGAAGCTGTTGGCACAGCAAGAGAAGGAGCTCCTGCTGAAAATTCGCGAAGAGTGGTTTGCCAAGACCATGTTTAAGAGCTGGCGAGGGGAGGCGGAGGAAGGCTTGACACCAACTTCGCCCAAGGCGCAACAACTCTTCGAGGTGTTGCGGTCTCCCGAAGCCCTCCACACCGTTGAATGGGACAGGGCTATTTGGGCTGCCGGTCACTTGCTGACATTGCTGTGGGATGAGGCTTTGGCTGCTGAGGTTCTGTACAGCCATCATGATTTTGTTCCTAAGCTTGAGCAAGTATTCCGTGCGCATCGGAGAAACGCGATTAACAAGACCACGTTGCAGTGTGCGTTTGCCACACAAGCTCTTCTGAACGATTTCGCGTGGCCTATCACTGCAGAGGAGCGGGATGCCATTTCTTCCAGCTCGGATCCCATTGTAAGGGCGATGTTTGTGCCTGAAAAACTCCGAGCATCAAGATGCCGAAGAGCAGAGGCGCTTCAGTCCGAACGCGAATGGGAAGAGCAAGCAACCATCGAAACGTGTCCATACTGGAGAGGTTCTGAGGAACCGAGTGTTCAAGAGCTGTATGCCTCTCATCCATACCCTTCATGGAGGCGCTTCGGGTTTATGGAAACCGAAAAGAAGAAGATCATGCGCAGCTTGATTGCCGGTGTAGGCACAGGAAAGGCGGTTCTGGCACACATGCAGCACTTCGATCCGCAAGAGATTCTGGCCGTCGATCTCAGCAAGCGCTCTCTGCAAGTGGCCAAAAGGCAGCTCCTTGCACTCGGCGTTCGCAATGTTGTTCTTTGGCAGTGTGATCTCACTACACTGGAGGGACAGTTCGATGTCATAGAGAGCATAGGTGTGCTACATCATCTTCCTGATCCAGCTGCTGGTTTTGCAGCGATGAAGCGACTGCTTGCACCGCAGGGAACTCTGGTTCTTGGGCTTTACAGCCGCACGGCCCGACGCAGCGTTCCTGTGATGCGTGACTTAGCAGGGGATGCAAGCTACCACCAGTTCCGAGCCTGGCTGACAAGTGGTGATGTGGCAGCACCCAGACGAAACATGACGAACGAAGAGGAGGTCTACCGACAGGAGTTTTTGTCTGAGTTTTCCATAAGCTCTCGGAGTACGTTTGAGGATCTGCTTCACCATCCCGTCGAGCATGTTTTCGAACTTCCACAGCTGGAGGAGCTTGTGTCTGCTGCTGGGTTAAAAATTACCGGTGTCCGCGTGCCAACAGGTGGGCATGGTGTGGCAGAACGCTGGCTACCGTACTTTGCACCGCAACGTCGAGAGGTTCAAGGCTGGCCACCTATGCCACTTCTGGCCTTCCTACACCGCATCGAGACAGAGAAAGAGCCGCTGCTCTTCACGAACATGTACGTGTTTACCACGAGCCACGGCAGGTCAGGCATTCTGGGAAATGTATCGCACTGGGTCTCCGCCTCCGCCGTGGAAGATGCGGAAGCCCTTCCGCTGCCCTTTGAGCCAGAGTGGTCCAAAGAATTACTAGACTCAGCTATCCGAGTCTTCTGCTCAAGGCTGTTTTTCCATGTGAGTGGCAGGGGCAGATGGGATGTGCCTGGAACTCCTCCCTGGCTCGAGGCGAAAGTTGCATTGGGTCCCCACGCTGCTCGAATCGCTCGTTCACTGCAGACCGAAGACGCGGTTGCGGGATATTGCAGACTGCTGACATCCCATTTTCTATCTTGAGTTGGCGACTGACCCTTACGCTTGCATCAAGGGTGGCAGACAAAAAGAAGTATCCCCACCATATGTGGTGGAGAAAACACGTTAAACCAGGCAGGTTAAATGTGTGGACTTGCTAGCGTCTCCGGGGATTTCGGCGGGAGGCTTGGGTTGTTGTCAAGCAGGAGCACAAAAAGTATCCGGCTTCATGTTTCATTCGTCCCAGCGATGCTGAGCATGGAGCAGGCAGCCAAAGAATTCGCACCGGACGATCCACGGCTCGTCATCAATTACCGCAAGGTGGGTCGTGGAGCAGGTGTTCCCAAAAACCTCAGTCTACAGCCCTTTGGGGTTCAAGCAAGCAGAAACCCTATGTCCCCACAATGTACGCCCTAAACCCTAATCCAAAGCATTGTTTCTGTCGAACATCGCATCACGGCTCCAAGGCCACAGACCTGCAATTGTTGGGGTGTTCTATAGCTTGCAGGTGCTCAGATTTTGCGTGGACCGGTTAGAACAGTCCCATTCTCAGGCCCTGACACAGAAACTGTGTCTTAGACACCAGCTGGGATTCTGTCAGCAAAGATGCCGAGCATCAGGGTTCATGACTGGCTGGCTCCATTCTTGCGACGATGCCCATGGCCAATTGTGGGACACACAGTGCGCAGCAAGTCTGCTTTGTGAGCCAACCAAGCCCTATGCTTGTGAGGTTTCCGTCCTCAAGCGGAGCCAACGAAGTCAGGTGATGAGCACATGATAGTTGCGAGCGAGCTCTTCGAAGCATTGCAGGCCAACCGGCTGCAGCTGGAAAGAAACAAGAACCAGCTGCAGAGCAAGTGGACCAGCTGCAGTCTGTGCTGGAGGAGACAAGATACATGCTACACCACGAGCAGAAAGAAGTTCAAGAGTTGCAGGCTCAACTCAAAGAGGAGAAAGATGAGATGGGAAACACAGCAGCACAACATGCAAGAGAAGCTCGACATGCAAAGCTTTGAGATATGCTTCGAATTCAGCGCGAGAAGGCGCAAGAAGAGCTGCATCGGAAGAGGCTGGAATTCCAGCGAGAAGCACGGGAGAGCGATCGGATAACTGCAAGGCGCACGAGAGCGAGACAGAGTTGTTGGCAGCTCTGCTCGAGCCCACGTCGTCCAAGTGGAGAGAGGAAGGGAGCATCCTGCAGGAACTGCGCGAGGAGCTGAAGGTGGCTCGGTGCAAAGCTTCCGACAAGCAGAAATCCGCAGAAGAGCACCAGGAGAAGTTACATCACGAAGAGGCCGATCAGCTTGAGTTGGAAGAGTCAGAACGAAATACAAAAGTTCTGTTACATGGGAGCTTTTAACCACCACAGGGCCTTTCGAGCCGATGTGACTGTATTTCTGCAGCAGCCGGGGCAACGATATCCTGGCATTACAAACGAGCTTGCATCAGCAAGTGCAGAGCCACTTTCTCGGTATGATGCTGGAGGGGGCTAAGGGCTAAGGCTGACATGCCGAGCAAGACAAGTTTCACTGTCACAAGCCGTTTGAGGCTGAAGCTGCAGAGTTTCTGCAGCGGCTGGTGCAAAGACATCCGGCACTGCATGCTAGGACATTGTAGGTGTAAGCAAGATCATGCAGTGCCGGATATTGACATGCACGGACCCACTTGCCTGTTATCGAGCATCTCCAAGAGATCACCACCCAGCCTCAGTTGGTGCATTTCATGGGTTGTACTCTGGAGGCGTTTGGTTCTCGCCAGCTCTTGCAGGCAAAGAGTGTCCTGTCCATCTTTCAAAGCCACAGATACCGGTTGGTTGAGTTCCTTCTTCTCGCCACTGGTCCTTGTCATGTGGAGAAGAGTTGCATCGGATCCTAACCCGTCTACCTTATGATAAGCTCTGTAGAATCTGTCTTGAACCCTTCCAGTAGCACCTTTTATGCAGAAGTGCAGTTCTTTTTAGGGAAGGCCTTCAGACTTTCTGTGGCATGCCATAGTTTAGGGTTTTGAGTTTAGTCTTGCGCTTGGTTTTGTCTTTCGGATTTAGGGTTTAGGATTCTGCTACACCTTGCGCTTGTGTTTTTCCCTTCTGACTTATCTTGGCGGCAGGTGTATGACGTGGCCTGCATCTCCCTGGGTCCCTGTGGCCACGAGGACCAGCAGCAGTGCAATTAATTCCACTGCTTGTGACCGCCGTCGGCAGGATCCCAAGATCAGCGCTGTCTGAGGCCCCTTTCTCAAAACGTTCCCTTCTCACGAGCGGCAAAGCCTCGCTATGATAATGCAGACGTGCAGTACGTGTTAGTCTCACCTCACAGGTTTCACTGCCAACATCGTTTCACCATGCTTTTTCAGAAGGCTCGTTTAAGCCGCTGAATATAGCATGCCATATGTCGGATGTGACAAACACCGTGTGCGACATCCAGGCAGCAGGCGCCATGCAACCATCGTCTTGTGCCGTACCTGCCAGCTGGATTATTCACATAAGGCGCGCTGCTGTTCCCATCCCTTTATGGTGTTCGACACTTGGGATACTGCCAAGAGCCAGGCTTACAGTGTCTTTGCTTCCGTCGGACCAGCTGAGGTCGCGGTACCCATCATCATCAACACTCTTAAGAAGGATCGCCTGTCCGATCCCATGCACTTTCAGGCCAGCATTGTGGGGTTCCCGCAACATCCATCGAGCCGATTCTTGTGAAAGCAGATGGTGCCCGCTCAGCCGTTCGCAAGACCAGGTCGTGTAGGCCCCGGCATAGTAGCAAATGTATCATGCTCCCTGCGCTCATCGTGTTTGTGCCTGGCTTGCAAGATTGTTTGTCTCATGTTGCGAGTTTTCCTGTGCTGCTCAGCCTTGCATTTCATGCTGTTGCCGATGGATGCATCAGGACTTGGATGCCTGTTTGTGGACACCTGAGATGTACGAGCTGACTACCTCTCCTTCTGCATACTGCAGCAAGAGGGGCGGCGTGATAACAGGCAGGGACACGGTCCTTCGGCTTGGCTGTTCTCCCATTGTTTTGTAAAGTTCGTTGTACTGGATCTGCAAGACTATGTCGCTCGAGAGGTCACGGGATTTACCGATGTTTTAGTGGAGAGCGCGGTCAACGCACAGTGTCTCAGCACGCGCAAGGGTGGTGTAGAAATCTGCCATTCCAAGGTATCTCTCTTCCCTGGTGCACAGTCGGTTCTTCAAAGGCTTTGTACAGATGCGACTCTATCCGGAATCCAGATAGCTGTTGCATCATCAACAACAGCACCTCGCCGTAATTCGAGTAGTTGAACTCGTTATTTTAGGGCCAACATTCCATTTTAGCTTGATGGTCACCTGGTCCGTTGTTGCAAGACGGTGTTGGCACGCCCAAGGAACCTGCATTTGCAAACAAGTGCCTCGACGAGTTTCCACTGCTTCCTGGCAAAGTCGAGAAGGTCGGTGATTTGGTGAAGTTTCGGCAGATATATCCTGGCAGCACCTTGCCAAAAAGTCTGATGTTTTTCCTCTGTACGTCTATTTCCGTATATTCTGTATGTATAAATGGTCACTACATTCATCTAAACATGTAGACCATAACAGAATATGGGCAGGTAGATGCACAGCTACATAGATGGGCAGATAGAGTATCAGTACCTGCACAGGCAAAGGAGCACAGCATTTTCCAAAGCTGAAAGATGAGTCTGGGCTGTCCTACGAAAACATGATTTTCTTCGATGATTGTACGTACAGTGACAACTGTGCCGATGTGGCATCACGCTGCCCTGGCGTGCTCTGTGTGCGCACTCCTCGCGGCCTAACAGAGGAAGATTTCGATCTGGCTTTGGCAGCGTTTGCTTCCGGCAAGAAGGGTGTCATCAAATGACAACCGGACACTGGTGCTCTCGCATGTAGCAGAAACAAGAGCAGCGCTGTGCAGCGGGATTCGTGCTGCCTCCCTGACGTTCCGCCGAGTGTGCTTCAGGCCAAGCTCTGGCCAGCCCTGAAGCCCCTCTTCAGCGCCAAAGAAATCCCCATAGAGGCGCCGCGCGTACCGTCGTACCGTGGAAACACTCCTTGCACGTAGACGGTCTGCATTCGCCATAGACTCGGCGCATGCAGGTGGTCACGCTCTTCCTGAAGGAATTGGATCTCATGGTCTCCCTCGCCCCAGCAGCTGAGACGCAGGTCGAAGTTTCCATCCGGTCCTTCTAGACTTCGTTTTCGTTCGTTGTGCTCTCCAGGCGGTCTTGCTACCGTTTTTGCTGCGGTGCATGGAGCTCCAAGAACCGACCATCCTGAATGAGGCCTTGCTTGATCACAGTCCACATGCACATATGTTACATATGTGCGCATGTGTCTACGATGGTGTGCAGATCTATATATATATACACATGTGTGGGTATATATATATATACATATATTTATACAGATACATATACAAATACATATACATATACATATACATATACATATACATATACATACATATACATATACATACATACATACATACATACATACATACATACATACATACATATATATATATATATGATTTATGATATATGTATATGTATGAATTGATGTACACCTAGAACATATGTATGTGAGGACGAGTGTTTATGTATGTGTATTTGCATATACAGATGTATGTATGCATTTATAGACCCCAAGCAACCAAAACAAGAAAGCTAGTGCAACTTCGCAAATCTAGATCCGTACGCTTAACCTCATATGGTGACAACATTCCACATAAACCCCTCAAAGCATGCACAGCCTCAAGTCGATCTCGTTTAAGTTTCATTTCACATCCTCATACATGGTTTTAGGGTTTCATGGTGGAGTTGGCATCTTTGTTGAATCGCCACCTGCAGCCAAAGCATAGTCGCATCCCTTTTGCGACCTTTGCTATCGAAGAACCTGACCTTAGTAAGCCTTGCCCCTGTGTCATCCCTATCATTGACTCAGCTTTACGTGGTAATCCTCTGTGAAAAGCCGTTTCGCAAGCATCTGCGTGATCCTTAAAATCAGAAGGGTAGCTAAAGCCAACTCAACTTGCTTAGTTCCCATGCAGCTGGGGTAAAAAGCTGATGGTAACTGGCTTGTGCAATGCTCTCGTAAATCTATGCATCCCTGCAAGCCTGTCTTCATGACACCCCTTGGAGATTATCTGTGTTTTCTTACACCATGGCTACAAGTTCTTTCGTCACAGGCTCTACAATCGATTGCAACACCCACTTTAATTCAGGATTATGTTCCGGAAGGAGGTATGTCATCCTTTGTAAAACATCTACCGGACGCAACTGAGAAATAGATCGATACTCAAGCAGTAACATAGTGACACATAGACCATCAAGGAGAAAACATATGAGAACTCAGCTTGGGGATCATGGGTGCGAATTAACATGGTGCTAAATCAGCATGTTCTACAAGGTTGCTGTGCTGGAGACAAAGAGTCGAGTTTGTTCAAGGTTCAGCAAGAAATCTTAAGGACATGCAGACATGCAGCGCGTACAGTGCGTTGACCTTAATGTTGGTGTTGCGGAAGATCTGAGTTTGTTCCACCCAGTCACTTACCTCATAGCTATATATCTTATACAGACTTTAGTTTTGAGTATTGAGTATTGTATATACATATACATATACATACCTGTTTCTGCACATTCATTCTGGATGACCTTTATTTACAGGTCTTGGAGAAGGTTCCCTACTTGCACAAGAAGTTCGAGTGCGCGGAGACTCCTGACCCTCTGCAGTACACACGTGTGGCATTGAGCTTTTGGCGTTTGGTGGCTGCAGGTACCGCCAGGTAAAGGACCAGATCCTGCCGAGGACCGGCTCAACGAGTACTGCGTGCGATTCTATGTTGAACTACGTGAGGATGCTGCAGCTCTTGGGCACCGCTGCACCGAAAGTGAAGGTCCAGGCCTGGGCAAAGCCAGCTGTTTGAGTGCCAAGACGGTTTTTTGCCGGAAGGTACTGATGGGCTTGAGCCGCATCTTCGAGATCTTCGACAAGAACACGCAACGACCTCGTCAGAGTGAAACGGATGGCGGGACCATCGAGTTGCAGCTTTCCGATAGGCACGATCTGCTCCTTGCTAAGGATCCAGGACATCGTCCTGCCAGCTTTTGAAAAGCTGACGAAGTCGGTGCGCGCACCTACGCCCCCAAGGGCCCGCGGTCGCTTGGAGCCTTTGGCGTGCTCAGGGTCGAAGCTTGACCAGCATCTCGGATCAAAACTGTCCAAGGACATGCATATGATATACAATACAGGTCGAGCCGGTCGCATTTGTGTCAGTTCTTTCGCTGAGGGTTTGTGCTTCGGCCTTGATAAAGCCAAACGTCGGAGTCCACCTCGCCCTGTAGAGTAGCCACAGACACTAGCAACAACCCGGACTCGCCGCACGATGTGCGCTTGGGGTCGCTGGGACGTGCTGTTCGAAGGCGCGGCAGATGCCCACACTTCTTGCAGTGTAGTTGAGGCAGGCAAGCACGTCTTGAGTACCAGGTGGAGGCCATGCAAGATGGCTCACGCTTGCCTGCTCATCCTCCAGCAGTCTGTGTTTGCCCCGTTTCGACGACACACATTCGGCGAGTCTCAAGTGCGCGGAGCCAGCTGTACCAAGGTGCAGACCTCTATCAGCGATGGCTGCAAGATGATTGCTACTGTGCTACGGGTCCAGTGCTGAATTTGCTGCACAGTGGCTCTGGTTTGTATCCGTTTCCTGCCGGCACCCGGAGCCACAGGAAAAAACTGTAGTTGTGCTCTCTCCAAGGCAAATTCTGGCAGCAGGAGCCGCAGGCCCTGCATGCAGCCGGCATGAGACACCCGACAAACCGTGAAATCCGAACACGCCTGCTGCAGGTTGCTGGCGGAGACGCCGGGCTTCATGCGCACAGGCCCCAGAAGCTTCGGTCACCAACAGTTTGGATCAGCAGCAAAGTCAGTGAAGGGGCTCAGATGCTTCCGAGCTTCCTCCAAGTTTCAATCTACCGACAGCAGAGTCCTGGGGTGCAGAAGCTTAGAGTTTGAGATTCGGGGCTCCTAAACGTTCGCTGGAGGCGGCGCCTGCTCCAGGGAGGTGACCACCCATGGTGCGGACGGAACGGGTGGTGTCCTGAGTGTGCGGGCGCCTTCTGTTTTTCTATTTTTTTCAGGCATCTCTTGATTAGTTGTCTTTTTGGACTCAGGGGCAAACTACCTCCAACCCGCCAAACCCTTGAATCCTTGATCCGAAAATTGCACCTTCAGCACAGTGGGAGTCGGTTTAGGGTGGGTCCAGGATCGCGGTTTTAGGGTTTAGGAGTTTAGAGCTCATACTCCGAAGCTGGATACGGTTTATGCTCGTAGCCTTCTCACATGAAATCTTCGGCCAGGTTGGAATACTCCCCAAGTTCAAGCTATGTCTGCTGGTATAAGTTTTGAGGTTTTTTGTGCTGAGTCACTATGCCGTTTACCTTTGAATCAGCCGGACCAGCATCTGAAGGTTGGACGTTTGGGGCGGCCTCCTGTACGACAGCTACGCCTTTGCAGCCGGCTCTGGGCTAAGAGACAGCGTAACAGAAACAAGCAGCGCGCAACCAGACCGTTGGCTCTGGATCTCACAACGATTCGAAGGCTGTGGGTTCACAGCGATGGCCGTCTGGAGTGCCGGGTGCCTGTATTTTTTTTGTTGTAATCCCGGCCTGATTTCGCATAACGTCAATGGTGTATTCAAAAAATATGCAGCCAGGCCACTTTACATCATGTCACTGGTCCCTGCATGTCGCCGGTCGTCACGTCGGACACAACTGTGGCGAACATTCCGGCCCAACCTCGTCTAGAGGGGTCGGATCGGGTTGGTCGCAGAGATGATAGAGATGCGCCCTCGTTATCGGTAGCAGTGCACGATGGCTGAAAGCAAGGCCGTGCGGCTCTTCCGTGGCTTTCGCGTGGAACCGCACTCAATGAGCACAGCGAGAGGCATGTGCTCTTTTGTGCTCATGCAGTCATGTGGCTTTGTCTCACCCAGGCTCGGGAAACGGACAGGCGTCTTCAGGCAGCCTTTCGTTTTTGTCGGGTCATGTTCGCGGTCAGTGCATGTAGAATTCACCCTGTGCCAGGTTGCTATCCACGTCTTCTGCCTCGTCTCCTCTGTTGTGCGGCTGGGTTACATCATCTGCGAGGCCTCGGACCGGCTTTGCGGGTGCCCGGGCGCTGCAACAGACCCCGCAACGCAGCCGTGTCACATGTTTCCAAATTAAGAGGCGAGGTGTCATTGAAAGCGCAACCGGAGTTGCTGAAGGAATCGTGTGTAGCTTGACAAGCTTGCGCAAACGTCCTATCAATGGTGCTGCGAACAGAAAAAAGCCTAAGACCTGAACCCTCGAAGTCAGTTCGGTTAAGCCTAGTCCAGAGCATGCGTTTTGTTCTGTGGCATTCATAGTGATGCCACGGCAGCACGCTGATGGCCGCTTTGACGCCGTGATTGCTGACAGGCGACTCTCGTTCACCAGCCGCGCTCACGAGAGAGCTTGCTGGAAAGACTGGTGCACACCCTCGGTTCAAGGGGTGCACGTTCAGACTTCCATGCGTCTATACATCCGACAGACAGCCAAGCCCGTAGTGAGGCTGGTGCTTCATACACGGCCTTCTTCCCGCTTTCCGCGGCTGCTTTTCTTTGTATCTGCGGGGGCCTCGTAGGAATGCTGTCACCGCCCTGGTGAGAACTTGGGAGTGAGTATGGAAGGCCAGTACTGGCTTCGACTGATTGACTTCATGGACCAGGCAGTCGAGAAGCCATGGTGACCGGCTGGAATGGGATGCTTCCGTTTGTGGCTCCAGATGATTGCCTTCCGCTGACATGCTTGCCAGCCGTGGAAGGTACCAGAATCCGCTGATTCTGCTCTGCCTCCTTTTTCTGATACTCGAAGCGGGCCATGATTTCATGCTTGCAGCTCAGGCTCACGAATACAGCTTTTCCTGCCTTAATAGCAGCATGGCAGAGCTACGCTCACCGTAGCCCCGAAGCAAGGCCTAAATTTGGAGAGTTAGTGAATGGAGCATTTCCGCCCCTCCGATGTGGTGCCCAATGTGGGAACGAACAGGGATCCCATGATATGAGCCCAACCCCGCCATTGAGGTACTTGCAAGGTGAGCACTTCGTTCTGGAAGGGATACTGTCTTAGATCTCTGAAGCTGGAGTTGTGTGAACCCCTCGCAGCACCACATGATACAGACTTCGACACTCAGGATGTACTTCTTTTGGCTTTCTTGTCTGAGCGTTGGAACGGCCTTCCTCGGCGTCAGCATTGCCTGGTGCTGGCCTCAAGGCATCCGGCCAGAGTTCGCTCCAGAGAGCTACTCCCAGGCATCTCTACAGGCGGATGCGCCGGCGGCTCCGGCTTTGTGTGCTTTGCCTACGGCTGGCGTCCGCCCCAAAGGCTCCTGGCTGACGGCCGATGCAGGGAACGCCGTCTTCAAGCGGACTCTGGTTTCTTCGGCCTTGGTCCTCGCCTCGTGGTCATCTTGCGCGATGCAGCGGCGATGCAGCGGCGATGCATATGTGCACCAAGGTCTCTGCGAGCTCTGCTGGGCACCCGGTGATATGAGAGCGTCCCGTCTTCCAAGACAGCCTGAGAGCTTGAGGTTTGCATGCTCATCCTGAGCGTTGTGCAAGCACTCGTGGGCCGATATTTTCCATGGCAGCCGCCTCGAGACGAGAAGAGCAGACCAGACCAGAGACGGGATCAGAGCCTCTGAGGCCTTGTTTTGAATGCTGGGTGACCGGCCGTCTGCTGGAGGTGTCCGCATCCGACGACATCGCTTCCGAAACGCTTTTCAGAACCTGAGACTGCCAAACCTGCAGTTGGCCTATCTGGTAATGGTGCTCCTCGCCGTGGGTCGGGCGGAAGCGCCGGAAGGCTTGGCGAGGCCGGGGCTGGGGGGCTCTGAGAGCTATTCCCTGCAGAGCCGCGTGCGCTCGCAGCGATCGCCAGTCCCAACAACTCGACCTTGCCGGGTTTGCGGGAAAGCAGCTTTGCCAGAGCCCTAGAAAATCGAGAAAGTCCTCCTTGAGCTTCAGACTTCTCGGCTCAAAAGGCTGAAAGCGTCACCAGCCAGGGAAGTCCTGGCGGTTGGGAGGCAGGGAGGCAGTATCTAAGACGCCTGTCATCAAGTGAAGCGAAGCCGAGCAAGTGAGCCCATGCGGTCGCAATCTTCTGGCCTTGGCAGCCTTGGATGTACTGCCAGGCATTCTGGATAAGCCCTCCACAAGGTGCTGCCACTGGCAGACATGCAAGAAGCACAAGCTTCCAAAGTGAAGCACAGGCAGGCGACGTGATGCGAAAGAGCAGTGCTGAGACGCTGCCTGGCCAGGCACAAAGCCCCCAGAATGCTCCGCCCGAGCCTGACTAGTTACAAGGCCAGACCCCGGGCAGAGGTAAAATAAAAGGGAAGGGAAGGTGGGCTCGCGGCACCAAGGGTTCCACTTCGTGATGGCCCCAGGAGTGGCGAGCCGTGGAGGGTGATACATCGCTCCGCGTGGTGGAAAAATGCTTGGCTCCTGCCGCGCCGTGACACCCTTCATGTGCAGCCGCTTTCAAGATTCCCTTCGCAGGATCGCACGCCGGCCATCTGCATGTGTTTGCTTGGGTGCTACGATGCCATGAGCAAGAACCTTGGACACAAGGCCACCGCAGGCTTCCTCTCGTGTAAATCTTTAGCATCACACGTGGTCACAGCAGGTCACTGCCGAACGGATTCTGCCTTTGATCATGCCACTCCTAGCGGAGGAAGGTCTTTCTTTCGACCAGTCCGGGCCCACTACTTGTAGCAGAAGTGTGAGATGTCCGTGGCTGGCGCTGTGATCTGTAGCTGTGTAACTGTGCAAGGTGGGAAACCCAGCTGACGGTCGCGAAGAAGTTGATGCAACGGGTCTCTTGACAGAAATGCATCCTGTCAAGGGCTCAGTAGCACAGTGCGGGTCCCGAGGTCGAATCTGCACGGAGAAAGGAGTACGAAGCGAGGAAGGATGCCCAGGCATCACTCTACGGCATAGTGCCCGAACGAAAAGCACAAGTAGCAAGCCCAAACTCACGACCCTCACGACCAGGCCGAATCTGAGCACGCCTTGGGTGCCGAGGCGGAGCACAGAGCTCCTACGCGCTGAGCCCTTCCAAGAATCTTTCATGTATCCGCCAGGCACCGGTCGCCGCACCCGTGCAAACCCAGGCAGGCAGTGAACAACTGGATCATGGTCACCAGACTACAGAAGCGTCAGGCAGAGCCACAGGACTTCGAGTCGTTGCTGATGGGGCCGTCGAAGGCTCTTCATGCATGGGATGTTTGTCATGTGTGTTTTATCTCACGAACAGAAAGGCATTGGACTTCAGTCGGCATTAACTCCTGGCTTATGGGATCGGCAAACACACAGCTTCGAAACAAGGCCGTGCAAGAACAAGAGCGTGCTGGTGAAGACTTTGATCCCAACCGCCTTCCGGTTGGTTTTGGGCAGTGCCTCCTAGCAATCGCCGGCAAATCCCCGAACGGTTCAAAGTTTTGACCACAAGGCCAGACATGCCAGGCAGACCGGCAACCTCACGAAGTTAGAAAGGCTTCCGGATAGGCAGAATACGATGCCTGCGACTTGCTTTCGTGCTCAGAACAGTTCCGATGAGACAACAAGGTGTGAGAACCTGCTACCAGGTGTAACAACAATGCTGGAGAAGGGCCTTGACAGACGCTGTCGCAGGATAGATGCCCTGAAAATCCAGATGCATCTACTGCTGACCTGTCGATGGCTTTGTTCTTGCCGGGGCATCACATGCAGCAGGACAGATCTTGTGAGGGGTGTACTCGTCCCCCTTCTCAAACTGGGTGCCGCTCGTGTCTGCGGCTTCTAGTTTCACGCATTGGGGTTGTTCCTCGATTTTCAGATGTTGGCTTCATCGTCTCTACACTTCAGCGTTGGCTCCAAGCCTGGTTCTCTTGTTCTGGTCTCTGGCAGGCACCTCCCGCTCCCGCAAAAGCGGCCGCACCAGTGGCCCCCGTCGCACCTCCACCACCGGCCGGCGACTCACAGAAGCATCGGTATCGCGTCTGGCAGACAGAACGCGTACGTCATTCTTGGAACCTGTGGAATCATGCATTCGCATTCCTAAGAGGAGCATGGAAGCCAAAAGAGGCCTTCTAACATGCAGCCCAGGCAGGCAACGACCTGCTCGGAGGAGGATTGCTCGACAAGCCGACCCCATCCGCATTCCCGGCACTCTTTTCCAGGTCTTCGCTAGAGACTTTGTGAAGACTTCTGCTCCCAGGCTCCATCCTCTGGCCTTGGGAATGGCTTTGACCCATTTGCTTCGTGCATGCCCAAGTTGCTTTCAACCAAAGATTCTCAAGCGCAGCGTTGGAAGTAAACCAAGTAGTTCATGTTGAGATGTGAAAATTTGGGAGATGTTCGGCTGCAAGGGCGGCTGGTACTGGTGGTGCGCCTGCGACAACACCAAGCTTCGATCCATTTGCGAGTGCTGGGCTGGTCAAATCCTCAGTTGTTTCAAGTCATGGCTCTCGTCTGCAGACACTTCCTTACAACCCCTTTCCGGCATCAGGGTTCTGGCGGAGCAGGTGTCAGGCTCAGGCAAGCTTGTCACCTTGGTGCTTGTCTGAGGAATCTGTTTTATGAGCAGCTATTTCTCGACCTAGGTGGCTGCACCGGACTTGGTGTGAGCCCGGCTGCTCCCACAGGCCTGTGCTTAGGTTCCGCAAAGACCCAGACTACGAGCTGTAGACTCAGACCGGTTTCTGAAAGGCATGGGCCAGGGTCCGGGCATGGCGATCAACATGGGAGGTGCCGCCTGCTTCCCGGTGCTACCCCTTGATTTGGCTGGGGTTTCGGATGGTTTTGGGTTTCAGGATGCAGACTTGAAAGCTTTGAGGGTCTCGAGCTTTTGTAGGGCTTCCATCCTGGACCGCATGCTGGCCAGGGATGGGGACTGGAGCTTGTGGCGGGTTGGCTCCCGAGTTCTCAGAGTTTGCGAAGCGACCATTGCATGTTGATGCCTTGACTAGTGCAAGGGCAAGCTCTTGGTCTTGTCGTGGCTGAGGTACCCTGGAGGTGCAGTTCCAGGTCCCTCCCCGTCCAATCCAATTTTTTAGATCGTGTGACCGGAGTTGCTTCACACAGGAATGGGCACCAACATGCCAGCACCCGAGAAGTTACCCTGCGGGATACAAACAGATAGCCTAGTGTGCCAGTATTTAACATTAAATTCGGGTTTTCAGTATATGCTTTATACTGAGATGTACGATTCCCGTTTACTGTCTGACAGGGTTCTTCAGCCTCCGTTGGCTATGCTTCCATCGCACTTAGGCCAAACATGGGCTCAGTGCCCGGCGCTGGCGGCGCCCCAACTGGTCCAGGAAACTTAGGTCCGCCGACTCAGCCTCTGCACGCAGTCATGGGATGCGTCGTGCCTCCCCAGAGTGTGCGAAGACCTGGCAGACAGGTGGCATGCGGAACTTGTCGGCAGCTTACACCTACCATGACAGTGGCATGCAGTGGCATCGAATGTGTTCGCGTGCACTCGAGGAACTATGATCCATTTGCAGAGTGTGATCCAGGCTCAGTCGGCTTCGGTGATCGTCAGGGACGTTTTGACACTGTCGGCATGCGACAAAATGTTTGATTAGGAAGAAATGAATGCGGCACAGAAGAAAACACATAATGCTACATGAGAACAATGGCGTGTAATCGGGACCCACAAGAACAGTAGAGTGTAATAGCATGCGGCAGCAGAAAAGAGTGTGTGCAGGATATAAGATTAACAAACTGGACATAATAGCATAGATAGTACTACAGTACTCCACCAGTATCAGGCACCAAAGTGCGCCAGACAGTCGCGCACACGTCACTAGCAAAAAAGTACTACAGTACTACATAATCGGGTATAAAACGCACATATTCGCAGACAACAGTATACCATACCTGAGTACAGATTAGTGTACAATGGTATGCAATCGCACAGACCAGTATAAGCAAGTACATAGTAGTGTATAGTAGAACGTGCTGGAGCAGAAACGCGTATAATGGCATACAGGACAGTTTCGGCAAATGCGTGCGTGTACATTTGTAAATGTATGCTTGTTTTCTATGCTGCTTGTAGCTGCGTATAGTAGTATATACTAAAAAGTTTTGCATCAGTAAATCTACCATTGATAGTATGTATGAATGGCACGAAAAAAGGCATATCATATATGCTCCCCTTCCACGCTGCGGGTGGTGGGTTTGCGATCGGGTTTAGGGAATCCCTTCATCTGTGGGTGTGGGTGGTTTGAGCTTCAATTTCCTCCTTTTTCTGTCCTTGTTCTTTCAAGCGAATTGATTCACCTCTGGGAAGGTTTGGGTTCTTTTTGCTCAATCTTCTCTTCTTCTCCGGCTGTGGGGCCTGTGGTGTGACCCAAAACTCGCACTGGGCCCTAAAGCTGCCATGCCTGTCATTGCTAGGGTGTCTGGTCAGATACTCGACTTCGCACGACGCTTGCAATGCCTCCCCACAGAGGCATTCGCGAGCTTAAATCAATACGTCAAGAAGGACATCAGACTATGCCTGCGGAACCTGAAGTCTGTCGAAAGGAAGCGGAGACAGCTCACGGCAGATGCATTACGAAGGATGCGCAACCGCCTACGCAGTGCCAAGAAGGTCGAGTCTTACCTCGCGAGGAGAGGACACCTCTGACGTCCAACGCAGCCCTCTGACTTTGTGAGTTTTTGTAGCGAGCGACGAGCACGCTCAGGCGTGCACAACAATCCTCTCACCCCGAGTTTCTGCAGCGAGCGGAGAGCACGCAACAAAGGACAGAGCTCGAGTAGTCGTTTCCTGAACCCCGCATGCCCTGCACCCGTCGCCCTGTCCTCGCCCAAAAGTGGACGCTGGCTCGCCCAGGCGCTCTCCTCGACACGGAAGGGCTAGCTACGGCAGATGCTTATTCACAACCCGAACGAGGCGAGCAAAACTTACCGGTTTGTTTACATTTGCTTGATCGGTGCGAGGACGCCAGCTGCGTATCCTCGATCGGATCGAAATTGGAGGACACGCCCCGTGCTTGTCCTAACCTGATTGAATTTAGAACTGCAACTGCCTGCTTGCGGCTCTGCACTTCTCGTACGTCGGGCAGCACGTGCCTGTGCTGAGATGAGTAGCCGGGCCACGATCGGTTGAACGTACTCGGCGCAGAAGTCGTATGCGCAGCCTGAGTGTGAGGCGATGGATGTCCCAGGCAAGTGGGAGCTGCAGGCCTTCCTCAAGTTGGCGAGGTTGGTCGTGAAGCAGCATGGCATCAACAGGAGACTGGAATGCGGTGACTGCGAAGCCTCTTCTCCCGTCTGCGTGGCACAGCAGTGATGCAGGAAGACCAGCCGCATCGCAGTCAGCCTTAAACGCTACTTCCAGATGCAGCTGGGTACCGGCACCCGAGCGCGTGTCCTCGAGACCGTTGCAGCTCGGCTGAGGTTTTATAGGCGGCAGTTGGCCACTGGCCATCAGTTGGGGCTCAGGATGGTCGGCTGCTCAGCCGCAACAACACCATCGGCCGAGTCTGGCTTCCACCGGGACGACACGTCCTCGGTGCTGATGCCGCAGCACTGATGCTGCCGCACATCCACTCGGCCGGGCGATTGCAGAATCAGAGGCTGGATGAGGATATGAACATGTTTTAGACTTTTAGACTCGTCGCCACCCCCCGCTGCTTCGGCCCTGGCGGGTGTCAGTGGCCTATGACGCTGCGTGCTATATCAAGCACGTGGCGAAATCGCACCTGAGAAAGAATAGGCCGAGCACCTGGCCGGACGTCCATCGAGAGCAGTTCGAGCGAGCTTTGACAAAACGGCGCGGCAGAGCCATCAGGAGCCCACGTTGCCTCCCGACTATGGTGCGAAATGTTGTCATGTTTTCAAGTGTTTCGGAGGAGCCTTCATCAGCTCGCCTCTTCGCCGCTGCCCTGATCTTGTGCACAGCCAGCTTCCGTAGTTGTGTGGCGGATATGTCTAGTTGTGCTGCCGCCGTAATGCCTAGAAGGAAGACGCCAGGTAGTGCAGCCATGGAAAAAGTTCTACCCCCAGTCACGAGGATCGAAACCCAAACAGGCACATCTCTGTGAGTGTTGCCATTTTTGAGACGTCACAATGATATCAAGATCCGGAAACAACTGCACTCGGGATGATTTCCATTGCAAGCCATCCATTCACTGCAACTGTTCTTATTTTGAGAGTCGCTATGGTTATGAGTCAAGTTATGAGTTATGATGATAATACCGAGACCCGAAAGCAACAACGGTTTGCAGCCCCGCTACACCCGCCCCCGGAAACAGTCGGATCAAGGCCCAACACCCACAACCGTCATGAAGATTCCGTGCTCGCGTGGTCTGGGGGGGCGGCGGAGGGAGGGGAACACCATATATATATATGTACAGATGTGTATATATGTATATATATATGCATATATGCATATATGCATATATGCATATATGCATATCTGCATATATGTATATATATATATGTAGAAGTATTATGTATATGTATATGTATAAGTTTATGTATAGATAAAGATATCAATACATGTGCTTTTGTATGTATGTATGTATGTATGTATGTATGTATGTATGTATGCATGTCACATATATATGTATATAAATTCATTTTTGTACATATAGATATATGAGTGTATATTGTTGTTGTTTGTCATGCTTGTTCTTACGGTTATTTTTTCACAGCGCATGTATTTGTACACACATGTATATGCTACCCCCTGGGTTATCCACGCTTTGTGGGTGTATATGACCGAATTGGCCCACCTTTTCGGGGCTTTCCAGGGCACGTGAGCGCGCATGTTTCCAAAACTCTTGGTTACATTGATTTTTCTTACCCGTCTCTCTCTCTCTCTCTCTGTCTCTCGGCTCTGGCGTTGTGCCGCGAGGGTTGTCTTTATCCAGGCATCGTGTAGTCAACATAGAGAAACAAAGCTACCCTTAAGTCTGTTCACCAGGCCAGCAGGAGGATCGCTATTCAGGGGTTCGAGTTGCAGGCTATATCTAAGCTAAGTCGTCAGTTAGCAATCATACATCCGGCTAATGTTCTGGGACTTGGGTAGCCGTTCATGCTACATGATATTCGTGCAGTTGAATTTTAAGGTTTCCATTGCGGGCAGTATTTTTGGTGCGCTAGTGAGAGTAATATCAGAGTTGCCATTGGGACCAATATCAGGGCCAAGACCATGCTCAGTGTTAGGGTTGACGTGTTTTTTCGAATTAGCAATCACTTCAATTGCACGGAATTTCAGCGTGATTCTTAATGCACCTATTCGAGCCTTATCTTTAGTGTGATTGCAAGAATCAGAGTTGCCATTGAGGGAATATGGGGGCCGATGTTGAGCTTGTGGAATGAACGTCGGCTGTAGTGAATAATACTATCACTAACTATCACGGTGAATATGGGCATGCGCAGTGAATAATGCTATGGCTATGACCGTTAATACAGGTAGTAGTAAATACTCATGTCAGGTCTGCTGGCAGTACTTCAGGGTAAACAAACTTTGCTGGGCCAATATTAGGGTTGTCACTTAAGGCCACTATTGCTATTGAAATTAGCTTGCGGTTTACTACCCAGGTGAATCGTAGGGTTGCAGTAGAAGAGTGTTTAGGGTTTCTGTTTAGATTCATGCCCCAATCGGATATAAGGAGGTTCAAGAAAGCTTCAATATCCATACTATGCGGGGTTAGTGGCTAGGATGACATTCATTCAGACCAGTTTTCAGCTTCATTCCGATTCTACCTTGGTATGCGATCATGCTGGCACTGCAAGTAGGGTGAGTATGTACAGCCGTGTCATTCTTAGGTCTATTGTTACGACCACTATTACTACCGGAAATTATGTTGGGGCTACCGGTACTGTTAATCTGTAACCTTTTTCCAAGTTGTTACGATAGCACGGGGGCTGCCAGTACTGTTTATTTGTGGCCCTTTTCCAGCAGACTTCAGTCAGCAACACACGGAAAACGATCGTACATGCTAGTTCTTGCTGTTCATCGTGGATTTGGTGTATGTATAACCATTACGATCTCATTGGCACCCTAGGTATGTTTCTTCTAGTCTTCATTCAAGCCTCCATCGTATTCAAAGGCCTCATGTATGAATGAGAGGGCTGAGTTCGTTATGCAGCACTGCTGTGAAGCGCTTCGACATCAATCCGGAGTTTTTGAACTTCAAGACTCACGGATCCAAGATTCAAGACTTAATGTCCTGGGAAATGTTGTCCTGGAATCTTGAATCCTGTCTGTCTGTCTGTCTGTCGGTCTGTCTGTCTGCGCCTCCATCTATGTATCCATCCGTCCATCCCTCCGTCCATCCATCGATCCATCCAGCCATCCATCGATCCATCGATCCATCGATCTATCTGTCAATCTGTCCATTTGTCTATTTGTCTATCTACCTATCTGTCTACATACTCATGTCAGTGTATGTTTGTGTGTATGCACTTATGTATGTGTGTAAATGTGTATGTGTGTGTGTGTGTCTATGTATGTATACTTAGGCACACATCTGAAAGTGGACCTTCGAGCACATAATTTTTCGAGCCTAACATACTCCGAAGCCAAAACACAGCCACTGAAACTGTAAGATCATGTCGCGAAAGCTAGCTCTTCTGAGTCCCACTCAAGGAGGGGGGTGGCTCTCAAAGTTTTGCCACGCCCCGCCCCACGCCAACATGAGGCCCTCCCCTTCCCCCGCTGAGGGGGTCAGCACAACAGACAGCAGAGCCGCTATCATTCGGTAGCACAGCCGCAGTGTACATCTGACAAATGAAGATAGCAGCATTGCTTAAGACGGTTTCACGTTCACCGCATTCTTGCTTTGAGGAACTATCGTTGCCATGCGTCGTTCAGCGCAGGCTTAAGCGGCTTAAGCGGCTTAAGCTTAGCACAGCATACGAAGAGCATTGAGTCACGTTCGCTTACAGGAATCTGCTTGCGTTTGCAATACACAGCTGCCACTTCCCTCCCCATCTTTGGTCCGCTCTGCTTTCAGGCATGACTCCATATATGATATAGAGGTCCAGAATAATGTGTAGTGCCTTCCTCTGCCAGGAAAGTGAGGGAGTCGGGTGCTTCGGTGCGTTCGCAGCTTCCCAGGCAAGCAGAGAGGCAGACAATTCGCATTTGCGCCACCCCGTATCGCCATAAAGTGGCATACAGCATTCTCCACATACACCAGACCACTACCCGGAGAAAAGGCGATGCTTTCGCTGTCGGTGTGTGCGACTGGGTGCGGCCGTGCACTGCACACATGGGCTGTCGAGAAAGATGATGCTCTTGAATTTCTTTATGTCTTGTTGGTGACATGGGAACCTATGACGGGGCGTGTCGCGTGCAGTCGCGCGCTGGAACATGTGCAGGGTATTGACTTGCAGGGTAGTTTGGCTTGACCAAGTCCTGTAGTTCGTGTTTCGTTTGTTCGTCAGAGTGTGGTTTGTCATGTTGTTTGGTTCAAGCGATGCCTGCCCGATCTTCCCTCAGCGTCCTAGAATCAGAATTATGGCTGATGCATGTGCCGAGCACTTTTAGCATAGTTACATAGTTTGATTGATGGTCTGTCCGCAGGTTGGGTCACAGCATGTACCGATACTTGCTAAGTCTTTCGATTGTGGCTTCTCGGCTCATCGCCAAGCTGGAAGCAATGGTTGTATTTCAGTATAGGCAAAACGATCGTGTTTTGCCACATGGCCATCAAAACGGAACAGAAATAGGCCGATTTTAGGATGCAAGCTTCTTGTGGCAGTTCCCGACCCCACCCCCCCACCTCACCAGCCCTTCTCTCGGCATTGGTTCCGCCGGACTTCAACAAAGAAGAGTCTTATCTTTACTGTGCCTCCTCACCGTTCCAACGTTTAGGTAAGGAGACTGCCGCCATGCAGAGAGAGGAGACCGATGCCTGTGAAATGGCCCGCGCTTCGCTCCTTGGCCCAAAGTCGCACGGGCTTTCAGCTCGACGATGCGGCACGCGCTTTGGCCCTGACATCGAGCACTGTCAACAGTTTTAGTCAGCAGGTGCTGGGGAAGCTTCCAGGCATCGTGGGCTCTGCAGCTTTGGAAATAGCGAAGGCTGGCAACTCACTCGTCCAGCAGGCCCAAGGACGAAAGATACCGCAAGCAGAGGATGCCGGCATTAGGAGCCAAGCACGAGAAGCCGTTGTGTCGAGTGCTGTCTCTACAGCAGAGGCTGCGAATGATGTGTTTTCAGCCTTGGGATTGCAAGTCCGGATTCTTCACCCAAGCCTGCCCAACTCGCAGACTCGTGTCAAGATCTCTCGAGGTCGTGTTCCAGATGCTGGAAACACCGACACAGAACAAAGCCGTATGACGCCACGTCAATTTGTTCAGTTCATGCGGCAAGCTCGGCAGGAAGGGAGGGCAAGTGAGGGAGGCGACCAAATCGAGAGGTACATACAAGACATGTCCAATGCTGGGCGACTTCAGATGATTCCTCTTCTGTCTTATAGCTTTCAGCACAAGCTGTACGTGGACATTGCCCGCCTGCTGGTCTTCGCTTTCCAGAGATGCCTGATGACACTGAACGATGCATCTGTCTGGGGCCACACATTGCAAGTGACTTCGAAAGGGTATTTGACGCGACATCTTCCAACAGACCAACAGACCAGCAAGGTTGGCTCCGCTCAGTTAGAAGCTGTTGTTGATATGATGCTCCTGTCGCAACGCTTTCACCTCCCCTGGCTTCCCCGCTCAACACAGCGCCGCCTCTATGCCAGAGCCTGAGATGCCGTGGTGAAATTTTCGGTCGATGGAAGGTTGATGCGAAGACGAGTTCCCCTTTCGCCTCATAAGCCTCCGTTCAACACCTCATAACACCTCCAAGTTCCCACACCCTGTCGCACAAGCGTCTAGATTCCAGGCTCCCAAAGTCCACAGAACCCTCAGGGCTTTCTCAGATCTCCTGCTCGGGGCATTTGGGGCCGTGCCAGATCAATTGCATCATGGTCGTCTTCCAGCTAGCCGCGGCCTCAGAGAGATTCCTTTGGCCTCCTACAGCGTCCAGCTGATCTACCTTGGCCTTTCTGCAGTATCTGACGTTGAGCAGGATACACCACTCATTGTCGAGGATATTACTTGTACCCGCTCAATTCACGCGCACGTGTCGCAGCATGGGCGAAAGCTCCAGGGAAGTCAGCCACGGGTTGTTTCCGAAGCTGGCAAGGTTGAGGACCTTTTGGCTGGAGATGGTGAAGAAATCCATTTCATGGGTCGCCTGGCAAACAAGTTTGCTTGCTGTCATATCCGAGCGGACCCCAATACATGCTGTTTACTGAAGCGATTAAGTTCTAGACTTGTGTGGCTGTCTCATTGAATTTGCACCTCATTCGGAAGATCTGAGTGTTGGGATGATCTCAGGCCACAAGGTCAAGTTCGAATTGGAAGCCGGGAGCTCAATTGCAGGAGCGCGGTTCCATCCTGGCGAACAAATTTCCCTTCCAGGCTCAACCTCTCCAGTTGGTAAAGCAGATGCTTCAGGCATTGCATCGCCTTCCAGTGGTCTTGCGCGCTGTTCCCACTGAAAGCAGGAGAATCCTGTGAAGCACTGCCAAATCGACGAGGCAGGACCGTTGGCCTTTTGCAGAGATGTTTTCGAGCGTGAGACAGTGTGCGAACCGCAATGGGGTGAAAGGCTGTTCTGGCAGAGCTCGTCGATGAGCTCCTCGCCGATGAGGAGAGTCTGCAGTCAGTCCCAAGAGCTGCACTGCCCGGTCTGATTCGGGGAGGGCCGAAGGCTCGCGGAAGGTAGGGGCGGGGCCCAGGCGGGGCAGGGATGAATAAAGGCTCAGCGGCTTCCGAGGCCATGCTGCGCCAAGCCGAGAGAAGGTGGGGGCAATGTCCCCTTCGCTTCAACCCGCCCGGTCGGCCGGGAGTTGAAGAGCAGGGAAAGCCAGTCATGTGCAAAGCACCCCCGAGATTCCAGCTTGTCCCTCTCCAGCTCCGAGAGCTCTGAGAGGTTCTGGACTCTGGTGCCGTGGCCGGCGGACATGTTTTTCTTCCCTTGATTCCATTACCCGTTGCACACCCTCCTCTTGTTCCCTGTTGTCGCCCTGCCCGGGCAGCGTCGGGCAAGTTGCTGAAGTGTATTTCGTTGTGTCCCCAAAAATTGCAGTTGGGCATCTTGGTCGTTGCCCTTGCTCGCGCAAACGGCCGAGCCGAGCCTGTCCGTCACAGAGGTGACCTTCCAATGCCTCGCGGCAGGCCGTCTGTGCTGACTGTTCCTGGAGCCATGATCTTGGCCTAACGAGCCCTGGTTATTCCTCTTGCGCAACATGCGGGTCCTCGTCTTCGTCATCGCCAACGGAGTCTGCTTGCAGGCTAGGTGCCCTCTGTTTTGATTCAGACTCATCTTGCGTTCGGCTGCCGCCAGTGCATGCCAGTGCTCGGCATTGCATCGCCTTCAAAAGTGCGGACAACATGCACGATCGAAGAGAGACACGTCCAGTGTTCGTATGTCGCTCTCACAGCTTCCTCAAATGTAGGCCGGTGTGCTTTGTTCATCTGGCTATCTACTGTCAAACCAGCAATCTTTTGTAGTCAGCATCTTGGCGGCTCTTGGAAGATGCTCTGGTAAAGCCTGCGTGTTGTGCTTGACATGAGCACGGGGAGACTCTCCCCTTCCCCTTCGCATCATTCTTGTCGTTCTTGTCTTGCTTCCCTGCTCTCCTGCCGTCGCCCGTTCGCTCTTGTCCCCCACTGTTCTCTTCGGGGCCCCTGTCACATTGCCTTCCCTTGCTGGATGGGTTGACGAGGTCTCGGTGTTCCTGCAATCGCAAAGATTCCATTGGCAGTGCTCCTTCCTGGAAAGCCAACCAGGAGACCAACTTGGTCTGGATGCCGGATTGCATCGAGAGCCAATTGTGCCAATCGTAGCAAATTGAAAGCCCTTTTGCTTGCACAGCTCACCGCTACTGCACGCTGCGGCATGCTGTCTCTGAAGGTACCAGAATGTGATGAGGCTGTTGATTCGGATGGCTGAACATGTAGTCGGCCCCTGAGGCACAGGTTCCACACAGCTGGTGAGGGACAGAGGATCGAACTTTTCGACGTCAAGCACAGGTCAGTGGGCTGAAGCTCAGCATCCTGGGCCGAAAGATTGAGATGTACAGCTGTCGTGCTTCTGATGTGGATTGCTTTAGCTTTGGCTTGTGGAACGTTTTCCAGTCAAGATTGCAGAGCAGACTGTGGGCTCACAGTTGTGGCAGGTCCATTCTGTCTACTATGGACCTGAGGGCGCATGAGGCCACTATCCGGAGTTAACCTGACGGTTCGGACTGCATGCAACTCACTGTGTCAGGAGTTCGTCCGAGACAAGAGAGCAGAGGCCACCGTTTACTACGAGGCTCGCATCTCGCCGAGACTTCCGAGCCCTGCCTTGGGGCAGAGCTCTCCCCGGACTCTGAGACGGAACAAGCCTTCTCGGCTCGAGACGAAGTCGTGAAGGCAAGACAGAGAACGGCGGCAGTCGCACAGAAAATGCATACATCGCATCCGGCACATGCATAGGGACAATGACTCTGCAGCACCCGAGTTTGTAGTCGCTTGTTTGATTGAGCATCGGAGATCCCTCTGCTTTGTACTCGCGAGAGAAGCAGAGGTGGGACAGACCACAGCTGCTGCAAAGGGTTTGCGAAAGATTGCGTTACACCTGCGCCGCAGAAATCAACTCACCAGTGTCACGAGCTCTGTCACAGAAGACTGCAGGGTGGCGATGGTCAAGTGTTCGATACCGGTGCAGACATCGTGCTCAGGCCTGGTACGTAGTGACCCCTCGGATCAAGCGCTCCCAAGGCATCCTGCTATTCGGCAGGTGTGGAGATACGGAGCAAGACACTGGGAAAAGGTGCTGGAGAGAAAGCTGTCCCAGCTATCACAGTATCACTCAGCATCGACATCCCGGTGGAAGAGCATCTTGACAGGAAACTGTCGTGCTTGTGCCCTTGGAAAAATCGATCTGTGATGACACCTGCCTAGTTTTGCAAGCCTGAGGCTCATTGCGGCCCTCACATACTTTCAGTTCCTTGATGAAAATCATGGCTTGCGTAAGCTCGTTGCAGCCATGAAAGTGTCGCTCGTTCCGGGTGGTGAACAGTGTTGAGTTGACGCTGAATTGGTGTTCGAAGGCAAGCTCACCCACCTCAGCCTGATGAACTGCCGAGTGCCTTTGTGGACAAGGCCGTCAACTTGACTTCGGAGTTCGGCTTCACATCCTTCGTCGCAAGCTGTGCTGTAGTGGGTGTGCAGTGTGCGGGTTGTACAGTGTGCGGACACTACTGGCACTGCTGAATGCTCTCTTGTTCCGGAGAACTGTTGTGCGAAGACTTGCTTTCAGGCATCTGGCGGCCGCAAGGTCAGGTGCTTGGATTATACGTCAGACCTTGCTGAGTTGCGTACGGTGGCAGCGACATGCAATTCGGAACTATTCTGCGTGCGCCAGCTCACAGTGCGCACCCGTCTTACTTGAGGGAGTTCTGCACACTCCCGTCCCCAAGACTACTTAATGGCTTTGGCCCGGTCCTTTCAAAGTTGCCACGTCTTTCCTGTCTTCGTCCCTAGGCCTTTTCTGCGGCTGCCAGTGGACCTCCTGGCCTGTCTCTAATGGCGGGTGCTGCTGCGGCCTCTTGGCAGCATTGTGGCTGGTTGTCGCACAGAGCGCCGAAAGCACACAGATCTTGCCAGGTTTCCGAAGAGAGCCAGGTGCAGGGTCAAGCATTGCTTGAAATCGGTGTCACCTCATGTTCGTGGTCACATCAACGAACTCCACCGTGCAAGCGTGATTCTGTTTTTCGAGCATGTTCGTAGTTCAGTTAGACGGAATGAAACAAGCATATAGCGACATAGGCACATGTTGGATTTATAGCCGGGAAAGCCCACGTGGGACTGTAGTGCCAGGCTAGCCTAGGTGAATGTGCGTGCATGCAGGCAGGCTGTGTGAACGAATGCGAATGCATCAAAGGGGCTTATGGACATATGGGTCAACTTACGGACGAATGTGTACGCTGAATGAAACCATGGACGAAGGAATGCATGAAGGCATGCATGGACGCATGACTGCCTGAGTTTATTAATGCATGACTGACTGACTGGCTAAGTGACTGACTGAATGAATCATTGAATGGAATGGAGTTGAGTGGAGTGGAATGGAGGGAAATGGAACCAAATAAGTTGAGAATGAAGGAAAGGTTCAACGCAGGAAGTTATGTACAACAGTGTACTTGCTTACAGATGTGTGCTTGAATGTCCATATGTTTGTGTGCCCGCATGTTGTCTATGGCCGAAAGTGGAGTGCAATGTAGTGTATCGTAAGGTAGGAACCTGTGGGTAATGATGCCATGTACGTATGCAGGCTAGCATGTAAGTAAGCGAGCAAGTAAACATGTATGTCTGTAAACAGGTATGTAAGCACTTGAGGCTGGCATCAAAAAAAAGCTGTGGCAACGCATGTAATTTGCACAGATGGTGTGGTGGGGCGACTGATTTCTCGGCGACATTTTCCATTCCTTTGCCACAGGCCGGACGCGAAACATCAGTTGCCCACGCAAAGGTCGACTCTTGACTGCAAGTGTCAGTGCTACATCGAGCCACCTTGTTCAGGGGAGTAATGTGCGAATTGCATCGAGGGTGCGATGGTGCCGCCACCTGGTTTGACTGCACAGTGGGAGACGATATCACAGCTCCCTTCCAATATGAGGAGAGGTGATGGGCTGCCCATTCCACGCAGACTTCTCATGAGTTAGGGGTTGCAAGGATACTTCTGTTGCAGCTTCAAGACCTCAGCATTTGGCAGGAGTGCATTCACCCGTGTCAAGGCATGGTGGTGCAAAGAGCATTGCTGGTGGCACAGTGCGACGTTTTCCTCTGGCAGGTCTCGAACCTTGTCAAGAGGTTGAAGCACCAGGACTCCGTGCTGCAAGCATTGCTCGGGCTGTTTGTGATCTACCCGTGATGCACAATCCGCAGTCGTTGTAAACTTCATGTGTACCTGACCCCGCCGCAGGAAGTGCAGTATGTCTTTGAGCGTCATGTTGGCCCTGTCGTTCAATGTACGCTTACCGAAGATTGTGCCAGCATCGCCTTTGTAAGCCCCGAGTACGCTCAGGCGGGGTTTGCACGTGCGAGTCGCGTCCGCAATGACGGAGCCTGTGGAGGCCGCCATTGAACAGTACGATGGTGGTCTTTTGGAGGTTAGCACAGCCTTGCCCTCGGTGCAAAATTAAAGCCGCCTAGGGTGATTGGTGATGCAGAGAAATCTTGCATGAGGACAAGAGTGTACCAGGACAAGACAGCCTTTGCTTGTACCCAAAAGATTCAAGCTTTCGCCGAAGCTTGGTCGCATTCGCTGCCTGGGACAGACATTGACTGAAGTTGGTTCGACCGTTCGCATCTGGGCGAGAGTGGTCCTCGTTGCTGCTGAAGGCACCCTGGAGGATCGTCTCGGACCACTTTCTCAGTGCCACCTGCGTCGAGGAGAGGGATGGATCACGCTTTTCCGCGCCTTGGACAGGAAAACTGCACTCGACTTTGCGTGGGCGGCCTTTCTCTTGCCAGTTTCGAGTTTGGACTATCCTGATGCCTCCGAGGTGGTGCCATTACAAAGCAACTCAAAAGGCATGTGAAAGAATGCAAAAGAGTCGCGTTTGGTGCCGGTTTTTTCCACGTGCTCTGAGCCAGGGAAGAGGCCCTGAACCAGATCGACTTCAAGGGTAGCGTCATCGGCATTTCGTTGGAGGCAGCTCGCCAGCCTTTTGCTGATCTCTTGGATCGTGGGCATGTCATGGCTTTCTGGTACATGTACACTGATTGACAGCGACAACGAATTCTGCAGATTCGCAAAGTCCTGCCTTAGCGAGATACTCAGATGGTACGGATTCTGGCAGGTGGGTGGCCCAGTTCCTGGACCAATGGAGGGAGTCGTAGTGGGGGCTCCGGTCGTTCTTTGAGTCTAACGGGGCTGTTGGGTCGACCTGCGCCTCATTTCAAAAACGTGTTCGGTGCAGGGCAAGCTTTGCTGGCAGTTGCCCGGACCTGCAATAGTTCTGAATGACTGACTTCTCCCTGCCGCTTGGCTGGGAAATCCATGCCAGTGACGAAGATCTTCCGTCTTCGCCGACCTGAGTTACGAGCTGTTGCGGAAAAAGGAAGCTTGAACACCAGACTCGGTAGAACTAGCAAGGAAGGATGTAGCCCAGTGAACAGAGTGCAGGAAGAGGATCCTTTCCTCACGGTCTCAGCCACGGAACTTGAGGAGCGCTTGAAGGTGCGGTCCTGAAGCGCGACTGGGAGAACGATGCAGCGGAATGCACGTGGTACTTTCAGAAGCCACCAATCCTTAGAGCTGGTGCAGGTCAATTTCATGCACGATCCAAAGACATGGAACCGTGCTCCCCAAATCCAGGACTTGGATGAGCAGCGCCGAGTCCTGAAAGCGCTTCAGGACTCGGGATCGGGTTAAACATCACCACCATCAACAGTAATAGTCATTACCACTACTACTACTACTACTACTACTACTACTACTACCACCACTACCACTAATACCACTACTGCTACTGCTACTGCTACTGCTGCTACTACTACTACTACTACTACTGTTACTACTACTACTACTACTACTACAACCACTACTATTACTACTACTACTACTACTACTACTACTACTACTACTACAACCACTACTACTACTACTACTACTACTACTACTACTACTACGCACCGGGCTCGTAGGGCGCCCGCTGCTGGGAACAAAGTCGTTGTGATATGGTTGTGTGCGAAGTACTGTAAAATACAGTACTTTTGTTGTTTTCAAGAAACATGTATGTAAAATGGCCAAAAGGTCGTGG